TTGGGAACTGTGTCATCGTGTCGGCAGGTTAAAGGAATAATGTCAAACTTATTTAAATCACTTAAAACATTAATTTCATCAAGTTTTCCTGGAACAGTGAGAAGTAATTTACAGTATGGTTATGTGATAGGAGGTTAATAGGTTCCTAAATTATTGTATTAACAAAACATCAAACTTCTGATTAATTGGCTTGAGTCGTAAACTGTTTACAAAAATACATACGAACAAATTTGGGGATTCCCCATATGCGTTGAGTTGTTTGTTGTTCAATAACAGCTTTAAAAGAATTGAATTTCCTTCGTTTTAATACAAGTAATTTTGTGTGGTGTATTTAAATGACTAAAAATACTTAAAATTTTGGAAAGGATTGAGCTTCAAACATCACAGATTTATATATATATTTATACTGTAGCTTATCTAGCCGGAAGGGTGTCGGAAGGGTAAACCTTGGGCAAATTCCTCTGTATTACTGAATGCCGAAGATAATTTCTGCAAGATAGCTTAGAGCAGCTTAAGGTTCTGCTCAGACTCTCCTTGCATAGAAAATGTTGCACAGTGGAAAGAACTTACTAACTAGTGGTTTAGCTTAGCTGACAGGCATCAGAATGGTAATCCAAATATGGCTGATTGAGTTTCCGCTCTCCCCATAGTTCTTCTTTAAATCTTTTTTAATGTGTAAAGTGCTATAAATAGTGGGCTTGTATTCATTATTTACCTCATTCTGTCTTTGCCTTTGAATCAGTGGCATTTTCCTCCCTCCTCCTAACCCCCTCGCACTCCCCACACCAATAGCTGACGAGTCAGGTATCTTCTTTACCTTTTTTTAATGTCTAAAGTTCTATATCTATATAGTGGACTTGTGTTCAATGTTTACTTCATTATAATCTTTAGCTTTGAATCGGTGGCATTTTCCTGAAGCAGTGCGTTCGGAAGCTTATCTAGTATAACATTTGAAATGTCATAGCTTTTCAATCACTTTGCGGGGATTTGGTCAAACAGATGGATGGAAAATCAGCTCTGGACATGGCCACTCGTTGATTGATCGATTGCTATAAACAAACCATCATGTCTATACAATTTAGCCGCTTATGGGTATGTTCTTAGAAATAATAGAATAATAAATCAACATGGGAATCAAAAGCTAAAGCCATTATCATCAAAATCATCAACAACAATTAAATTTAATTTGAAGAATTATAAATCGGGATTATACATTTTGTTGTTAAAGTTCGATATTCATAATGGGTTTTTAAATAATCAAAGAGAAGATGGTATTTAAGTTCAGGGAACTTCATGTAAATGATTCCCAAAATAAATATAAGTCCTTGTTGTATAGCTCTTCTTCTTAAAGTTGGTTTAATACTAAATTTCTAATGTTTGTTTAATCTGGTACAAATACAAAATGATTGGTGGTTTCCTTTGTTTTAAAGAGGATTTACTTAAAGCATTACTATTCCAACTTATACTTTTTTAATGTTTTTTTCTTTGAAGCCATTTTGTACAATATTCAAATACTAAAGGATATTTGTAGATCAAATTTTGTTAAAATGGATTCAATATTTTAAAGCCATTTCCAACTCAGTTTTTCTTTAAGTGTGAAGAGAGCCCTAAATATTAATCTAGGCCAGTGGTGTTCCTTCATATTTTTGGTCTATAAAAGTAAGTCAGGGGCAGATTTATTGTTGGAAAGTAAAAAAAAAAATATAAGAGAAGAAAGAAAGAAAAGAAATAATTGATCACTAAAGTGCCTTAGAGGTTATTTTCGGGCATCTAGAAAACAAAATTTTGAGGTGGCTTGTCCCCGGACCTCCTGGGGTAGTGTCGTCTCTATCGGTCCCCCTTTACCCCTGTACAGTATGTTAATAATCTTTCTGATTGAATAGATTCAGTTATTTGCCAGCCAAGTTCACTAGCTTCCTTTGCAACATATCTTGGTACTTTTAATAGGTATCTGGCCATTTGGTATTGTAAATTTTTAATTTTTTTCCGTAGATGCCTTGTTATCATAAAACCATATGCTACTGTGCTTGCATAATTTATAGTTGGTATTCCAATCGTTTTTCAAAGAATACCGCTGTAATATGCTGTTAAAATCTTCCTCTCAATCAGGGGTTTAGCCAGAAAAACGAAATAGGCTGTCCAAAATGGAAGCCAGTGCCACGCCCATCTTTTGGGAATTCCCACCGAATATTGGTACGAAAACAATGTACATTCAATCAATAAATGTTATTTTTATCAAACCTAATTTATATGATATAGCTTTAGTTTAATGTAACATTTGATAGATTTGAAGAATATAAAGAATTTGCTAATAAAGGTAGACCAGGCCCAATTAGGCTAGCCCGAGCTGATTAGGACAAGCCATCTAAGCTGTCACGGTAAAAGTGGCCGTCCTACTGTAAATAATAGTAGGCCGTCCAAAAGATGGCCGGATGGCTCGCTGGCTAAGCCTATGCTCTCAATTAACAATAGATACTACATGCACTGATTTTGCTGTTCAGTGGGTATGTTTTATCTTTCATAATAATCACAGTTTCTCTTAAAACCAACTTTCTGTGAAATTCATTGAGTAACATTTATAAATGATAATTTATAACCTGGTGGGTTCTAATAGTGTTCGCTGAAGTAAGGGCAAAAGTTAAATGTTCTTGTGTTCATTTTTATCTGAATTTATCTATTGAATGAGGTGATGATGTGGTTAGTTGAGTGTTGTAAACTAATGGTGATTCCAAATGCCAGAGCGTGTTTCTGAGAATTAATCGTTGAAAGTGAATTTTGAGCACTTCATGGAAATGGAAGATAATTCCAGGGGACAAAGGCATTCAGAGTGGCGACATCTGATTTTTTTTGGAATTCATGTTTGATCACAGCATTCTCCTATTTGAAACATTTTTACTGGTAAATTTGTTAATAGAAATTCAGCTATGCAATACACAGTGTGAGACAGTACCCATCAATTTTGAATGACTGGAAAAAACAATGGCAGATACAGTCACCCTAGGCATAGACTGGAATTATGTCCATTTATTATTAAAGAAGGCCAGTCTTGACTACCTAGGACTAATCAGTTGTTTTCAAATTTTACAGGCACTAACTGTTTTTACTGGTTGGCTGGTTATTTTTACTGGTAAAATTGATGGCAAAACAGCTTCGGGAGAACACTTGATCAATAATGTGTAAAGTGACAATCTGCAATCTGTGTAGTTACAGTTGTACATCAGTACCTCCTCAGTTTCATGGTTCAACTTTTTAATACTAATTTTTGGAATTTGGAATTGATCATTTTGCATTAATTATCTTCAAGCAGTACTCTAGGGATTCATAGTCACCACAATTTTTTTGAAAAGTACAACATTTACTTAAATTTAAAAAGAAAAACATGTTTACAGTCAGAGCAAAATGGTGTAGGTGGATTTACTTGGAAGGCCGTGGGCAACTACGGTAATCTAGTATATAAGTAAGAGATAAGATGCCAATCATTATTGTAGTCTATAAATCTGGAAAACTTTTAAGAAGCTTCAGTGATTTTATGGTTCTGTCCCAATTTCTTTGACCTGGGTTCACTACTTTATTTCCAGCAGATTCTAGCAGGGCGGATTCAGAAATTTTTGAAACAGGATGGGGGGGAGGGGGTGGGGGTGGCGCACGTGCAGCATTTGTTTTCTAGTTTGTCTTATTTCAATACATGGCATGGTATGTACTGAAATGTTAAAATGTGGCAAAATGGGGAGAGTGAACTTGTGCCCCTATTGGATCCACCCTTGTCCAGGATGGTTCCCAAAAAAAAAATTTAAAAAAAATAAAATAAATAACTCAACATCCAATGAATAATTCAATATTGAAAGGAGTTAAACAAAATTTTGTGTTTTTTTAATGCTTGCAGGCTATACAGGTTTGTGGATTTTGTATTCATTAGAGAAATTTCTAGTGACCTTATTGTCTAGCAAATTTGTATAGGAATTTCTACAACTATTTCAACAATAGAATAATTAGAGTATCTGGAGAAAGGGACTAAGTGTGTTTTAATAGTAGAGTCCATTATATAGAAATGGAACAACAAATTTAGTAGGAGATACATTACACATTTTGAATACCATATTCAGTCCATTTTCTTTTTTTTTTCTTTACTAATGGCATTATTTCCTCAGTTGAAGTCTAGAAGAACTTTAGCAGGTCTGTTCATTGCAGGATTTGGAGGGCATTTATTCCTAAGAGGACTTTCCTATAATATTGCATATTGACACTATATTTTGCATTGACGTACTATTGGTCAAAGAGTTACTGTATTTATTTGAATATACGCTCTGCTTTGAATAAATTCCTCCCTCGAATATACAACATCAAAAACCATTTTCAATATATGCCCCAGGGCATTTATTCGAATAAATCGATATATTTTTAATGCAAATTAATAGATGATTTCTGTTGAATAAATTGAAACTTGCTATCTTAACTGAAGTGTAAAAAAGTATTAAATAAGCTACTTCGTATTTTGAACTGCGCATGCTCGTATTGAAGGTCAGTCGCCAACTCTGAGGCCTAGCTAGGCCTAACCTGTTGTGTGCATTTGATTTGAAAATTTGATTATTTACCAAAATGATTCTTTTACTAATACAATATATTTTATTTACAGTTAGATTAATTGAAGCATGATAATTCTTAGAATTTTAAGATTCTGTTTTTTGATGGACTATAATTATTCTGTATAATTATATCCGATTGTATAGAAATCTTGTTTATGTGCATTCGTTACACGATACGTATCACATTGAAACATGGTACTGCACAGCATTAAAACGTGCAGTTAAATTGAGAGTTAATTTTTCGGTACAGTCTTTGAATATTGTCTTCATGTTTTTGTCTGTCAAGTTGTTTAAAATTAGTCAAAGCTCATATCGCTAATGTATTATTAGTACTGCAATATGTGATCATTTTAACGATTTTCTCGTTTTTGTTTTTTTTATCCTTTTCGCTTTGTGCTGGTACTCTCTTTCATCTAGCCGTGGGAATGCAGGGTAATTACTTTTCCATTTATACTGCCGTGAATTTTCACCTGCTTGTTGGTTGTAATTTTCAAGTGTTTTGTGTCCCCACTCACTTTGTCGATTTACTCCTACACACTAGTCTGCACGTGTATGTATGTGTGTGTGTCATGTCTTATCATTTATCATAGGTCAGGTTATTTTATTCACTCATGAACTTGTGTATTCAACGATATTTCTCATTGCACAGTTATTGTAAGCTCTATTCTTTCGATCAATAGGTGAGTTTGAGTTCAAAGCTTATCGAATTGTGTTTGTTTTTTTTTTTTTTTTTTTTTTTTTTTTTTTTTTTTTTATTTAAAATCATATTTTATGAGCGTGGAACCCAATTAGTAAGACCTGTTTTCAAAGTGGGCCCTCAAAGCTTGATTTGTCTTGCTCCACTCAAAAGTATCATGTTCCGGTGTTCATTCTGTTATTCATTTATTCATAGTTTTTATTTGAAATTCAATACAGAATAAACAATTATAAAACTATAAGACATTGCATTGCATTAAGATATTAAAATATTGCCAAATAATAAATTGTAAGGATTGCTCCTTAAATTGCAAATTATTTATAAGCAATACGATTGATATTAAAAATTTATAAAAATATTGACAGAAATCAGACTCGTTTTTCTTCGGAAGAATTTTGCCTAGCTGTTTATCCATGCAAGGTAATAGTTAAGTACTTAGATAAATTGATAATGTAAGAATTGCTTATAACGTTTAAGGCGCTCAACGGTCCAAAAGAAAACTCCTTCAACCTAAATCCACTCCTCGCCTTCTTAGGTCTTCAAACAAGCACCTTCTTGCAAGGCAGGTGAAGGCATAAAAACTTGGTAAACCTAGCTCTACATGTGTTTCCCCCAGTGTTTGCATTTTTTTTTTTTTTTTTTTTATTAGTAAATTTTTTTTTTAAATTCCTCTTTTGTTAAGGTCATTAAAAAAAAAAAATTGTATTAACCACCTTGTGGATTTTGCTTTTCCCTGTAGCAGAACTATACAAAGTATAAATTATTAAATTTCTTTTATTATATGTTAACAATAAATTTGAAGTGTTATATACATTTATATGATATCACTTTCTCAATATACTTTCTATGGGAAAAAGGAAATTTAAATTTTAGCCATTTTTTAATCAGCATTTACATGCTATAATTACTGGATTTTTTTTTTAATGTTAAAATGTGGGCATCCTAAATCCCAGAAGGGAAGGTGACGCCTGTAAAAATAGTTTGATAATCAATAATAATAATAATCAATTGAATAATCAGCCTAGTGCCGGTGTGAAGGTTAGTGTACTGGTGCATGATTTTAATTTGTTATCTAGACAGAAAGCTTCATGGGGATTGAGAGTAAGGAATATATTTTGTTACTATTAATAAATGATATGTGTGGGCCCACTGAGCCAGTACAAATTATTAATAATTCAAGAAATATTTTATATTAACACACCTTTATTAATCCTTGAATTTTGATTGGTGGATTTAATATCATATGACATTGGGTATTAACACTATTTTTCTAAAATGACAATATAATTCATTTTTTGAGTTTGCCTCACTCTTGTAAATTCAGTTTCATTTCCATACATTTTTGTTACATTCATTTTGTTGTGATGCATAATGACAGGACCTTCTCCAAGGAGGTAAAATCTTACCTAATAAATAGCGCCCCCAATGATCCATGCTAAGAAAGGTAACTATACTTTCATATCAATTTGTGACATTCTCTGCGTATAGAAGGTAGGCATAACTTTATCTTTTAATAAAATAGAAAAAAGTTAAGGATCCATTTTAGGTGTATTATATAATAAAATAATATCAAATAATATAAACAATAATAATATTGTTCTTTATTGTTGTTTTTGTTGTTATTGCTGCTATCATCTTTTTAACAATTGACTCAACTTCAATTTCCACACACATTGTTATACGCCTATATACGTGCATCATTACACGTATCTGTGTGCATCATTCTGCACATCACCTTTTACGTGCTTCATTGCGTACATCTCGTCATTAACATGCATCGTTACGTATCCGCAACATCGTCATTTGGGTGTATTGATTGAATCCCCCCCTGGAAGCTTCACTGATTATTAATAAACTCTGAATATATGTTTTTTTCAATTATTGAAATTGAATTACTTCAGTATAATTCTATTTTAAACTACTGTATAATGGACCGGTAATTGTACAAGTGGTTAAGGTAAGTGACCTAAGCTGAATGAAGTTTAACAAGATCACGCAATTACAAATACATTGCTCATGTAGGTTTATCTAGTCATTAACTCTTATAAAGTTTAATTCAGAGAAAGTTAAAAATCTAAATTTGCTGGAAATCCAATAAGAAAAACATACACTTTAATCTCTTAGCTTTATAGAGTACTACAGTGTTATGTCACGATACCACGTGATACTACTCCGTTGCTATTGGCGACACAAAATGCATTCAACTGACGCAATTTTCTCCACTGACAAACCATTGATCCCAATTTCTAACGTAATTATTAAGAAGTTGTATCTTAATTTTTCTCTGTAAATGTTAATTAATGATTAAATGTGTGTTTGATAACTAATATTATGCGAGCTTTTTGTGTTTTTAGTACATTTTGATGGTAAACCATTACTAAACAATCGCAATAGGATGGAAAATGAAAATCATCATGAGTGATGACTTTAGTTCACTGGTTCATAGTAATGTTGGAAACAGAAGAACTCATGTTTAGGACGATATTGTAAGGTGAAAGCTTTTCCAAGAAGTTTCAAAGTAAACAGAACTATAATCACAAACAAGGATTCAATAGCAAAAAGCAGTGGCTGATCCGGTTTGGGATAAAGGGGTGCCCGCACATCTCCTCTCCATGGCAGCAGCGAAAAAAAGAGCGTTTAATTTATTATCATGCATATTAGTAGTACATCCCCATTCAGAAACCCTCCCCCTGGGACCGTGGTACTCTGTTGGCACCTCCTTTCTTGCAGAAACATCTTGCATCTGTCCATTGTCTATTCATGGGCAAATCTTGGATGTTTCTGCAGAGAAGGGTATGTGTATTAAGGACCCATGGTCAATATTCTGATTACAGTAAATTCAATGTTTATCCAAAGCCATCATATTATGTTAAAAATTCTATTTCTTGATGTTTTGCTTTCTCCAGTGTAAATTTGAATAAAACAAATTAAAATAAAAGAAACGACAAAATATGTTAAATTAATTTTATTATTTAAAAACAAACTTTTAATCACTTCCAATATTTTGAGAAAATGCATCCAAGAGAACACCACTGGCCGACATTGTTGAATTCCACCACAAGAAACAACAGTTAGTAATTCCCAACACAGGGGGAGGAATCAATCATACCAGAACAAAAACATTGAAAGTGATTGAAATGATTGGTTGGTTTAATTACTAAAAAATCTATCATGAATAAACATTTTAGAAATCCAGATAAACATTTCAACAAAAAGTATATTTTATTTCTTTAAAAGATGTGGTGTTCTTTTAACATTGTGCATCCTTTTGGTTCAATTATCGAAGATTTCAGTTCAAGTTACTTTAATACCTGTTTCTTTGCTAAGGAAATTTGAGAAAACTATCTATTTGTATACATAAAACCGAATTGGATTTCAATTTTCTATTATTGTTTCTAATTAACTCTTATTTTTAATGCCAATATTTTCCATAATGTTTTATTGATGTTGGCACAGGGTTTAGTTTGCCTTAATTTCTTATTAAAACATTATGGTAAGCTAAAGTCTCAGTTGCTTTCAAACCATCTAACATTAAATAATCACACATAATTTTTTTGTCATGGTCTATTGGAAGTTGATTTGAGGCTGATAGGGTCAGAGGGCGATTTTAAAACTAAGTGTAATATTATCTATATAATGTAGGTCATTTTAATATGATATCAATCTAATAGAGTTAATGTAGATAAATAATGGCCAATATTGCACCTTCAGGAATCTTAACTATGCTCAGTACATGGTATGACTTTTGATATTTACAACTTGTGATATTTTACACTTGTATGTGGGATGCCAATACAGGCATATGTGAGGTCTCGCCACAAAATGAGTATCATGGTTAGAAATTCAAAAATTGAGTTTATATTATATTTGGGTAGATCACATTATAAGCTTTCGTTTGGTCTTTGAACGGCTGCCCTACTATAAGTAAATCCAGAGATGTCAGCATTTAAGTTTATGTGCATAAGAACCAAGTTTTGAGAAAATCGGCCTCAAAGATAAACTAACCTGTACAAATAATATGACTAGAATTACAGAATATGTGTGTTTTGGCAAGAAAATTCACTTACAAAGTATACAATCATAAAATATAAGTATCAAGTTATTCAAAAACATTGAAATCAAAATTTTGTAAAAAAAGTTGATTTTGGCCTGTTTTGGTGAATATCTCAATATGATTTCACCAACGATGCGTCTCATTTCGTGGTGAGACCTCACATTATTTTGTTTTTTTTGTTTTTATTTTAACACTATTGAAAAGGAATGATTTTAAAATGTAATTTGAAGCGCTTAGAGGCTTTGTGCACGAAGCGCTATATAACAACAACATATTATTATTATTATTATTATTATTATTATTATTATTATTATTATTATTATTATTATTATTATTTAAAAAATTAGTATGGATAAGAAAGTTAAATATTGAATGTTAAGTATGTTTTTTTTTTATTATGTTTGTACTTTTGCTTTTAATTGCATTAGCACTTGGAATTTATTTTGCACACTATTAAGAAGAAATGATTTTTTTAAAAATAGTGTATGGATAAGAAAGATAAATATTTTTGAATTTTAAATATGTTTTTCTTCATTAGGTTGGTTCTTTTACTTTTAATTGCCTCAGCACTGATTTATTCATTCAGTTTAAAGTTAAAACAAATGTAATAACTGTTTAAAGCCCCATTACCTGTATACATGATGTTACAC